ACAGCACAGCGCCATGTGTCTGGGGTAATGTGATAGTGCCATTCGAGTGAAGAATAGGAGATCTTTCTCATACATGGGAGACATTCCAATTCAAGTTGCCATTCAGATCTTTTGTGAGGACAAAACTGTGGGATCAAGTGCTCAGTCTGAGTCAAGAAATAGGGATGACCAAAATCCAAGTTCATAACATGACGTTGTGAAGAGGATGGCTGGCTATCATCGACCAAAAGACTTGAGATGGAAAAGCTCATGTTCAAATATGTCAGCAACATTTCCCTTTACTCGGAAAGCAAGCAATCTAGAGAGTGTGTATGGGAGATTGTGTTCAGTGAGGTCAAATCTCCTCTCCATGGGCTTGTGGTCTCTCATGTCCTGGAGGGAAGGCCTGAGACTGAAACTTGAAAAAAGTGCCTACTGTAGAATACACACCTCCAGGCTGTGTTTGGGGATGTGTTTGCTACTCTTTGGAGGAGGGACAGAGTCTCCAAGAGACCAGCATGGCACCGCGTCTGCTCTCCTCCTCTTCCTGTGGCTTACAGAGGAAACCAGACCCTATAAATGCTTATAAGGCACATAAGTCTAGAAGATGTGAAGACAAAATATCTGCATTTACATTGCCAGAAACGCTATGGTTGGGATTTATTTTTAACATATTCACACAATATACATGTAATAGTTTCAAATACGATGAATCAATTCTATAGAGTACAGCAAACCCTTACAACAGTATCATCTGTGACAGTGCATGATCAAATGCTCTCCTTAAAAAACAATCACAGACAAATACAAGTTTCATTTCAATTGAGTCAGATTTATAGTCACTGGATAGTCGAACATCTCATGAAGTGATTGAGAGAATCAGTCTTTTTATTCCCAATTAAATATGATCAGTGGTTCTAAGATTTTATGTTTTAGTGTATCCAAACTTTGGAGGCTGCTACCCTTTTTAAATGTGTAAACATCCATCCCCGCAGGTTCAGTTATTGACATTTTCTACATCTCAGCAAATGTTTTTTCAGCGTTGCTCTCTAATACATTGCCAACACATCCAAATGACCTTCAGGATGTGTTATTTTAGCACATTGTAAACACAACCGAATCCCTATCTTCTTTTATTCTGTACAATCCGCTCTGCGTACACATGATGTCACAAAGTCTCAACCACAGCTCTACAATTACGTGCAGAAATATGGGACATAGAAACATGTTGTATGTGCTGCAGTCAGATATAGTTATCTTTTCCACATATTGCTACATGCCATATTCTGATCTGCTTCTGGAGAGTTCAGATGACACAGTTTATATAAAAATGATTATCAGTGCAGCAGCAGTATAAGATAATTGGTCCAGTCCCTTACTATAAGTCTGTAATGCATTTTCCCCCATTCAATCAAATAGTGCTTCAGCAGCAGGCTTCATGATATTTGTAGAAGCAGCCCTACTTAATTCAGCTGAAAGTAAAAAACCGACATTCCTATTATTATTTGAGTTATCAAGTATATATTATGGAGCCCTGGAAACCTCAGTTTGTCCCTGAACCTTCCCACCTTGTGCCAAAAGAGAAAGTAGTTGTGGTGATGAGAAGGTCAATGCTGGGTGACTGCTCATGTTGAGAATTGCTAAACTATAAGTGTATAAATATATAAGTTTATTTTTTGGTTGCCAGTCTGAATCTGTAGTGGTGCGGATCTGGCATTCCACAGCCATAGCTGGACCTTCCTGTGTTCCTTTCAGCCTTAAAGTAAACACTGCTGAGTGTTTTTGAGAGGAGAAGCCCTTTGTTTCATCCCACTCATGTTCTGTTTGTGACTGGGGTCTTCAGCTGTTGTTTTTTAAAGCAGCCCCTCTCTCCTTTCTTTGCTCTACAGGAATAAGTCAGTGATGAAGCCTTAATTGATCTGTGAGTTTGAAACTTTTCTTGAAATTTGCCAGTTTTTGTCTCACATGGTTTAAAGTACTTTGTACAGAAAATAGTGATCTTCAGATTTATGTATATTTGAGTTTAATATATATATATGTGTATATATATATATATATATATATATATATATATGAGATATTGTTCAACATAGTGTGCTGGGATTATTGTGGCTTCCCTCAGTCCAACATATCACCTCTTGTCTAAGAATACACAGCCAACAGAAATGATGATAGCGTAAAGTGACAAAATGACCTTTCATTTACAACACTCACACTTTGGTGCGTTTCAATATCACAAGCATTTCTTATTTTATTATTAATTGTTTTGCTTTCCATTTCATTTAAATGTCAAAGATTGATATTTATATATTCAACAACATGACTACAAACTGCATAGTATGCAGTTCTGCTGTGTGATCCTACTTATCTTAAAGTATATGCCAACATTACTCATACTGAAACATTCATTATTGGGCCCCTCTCCCCGCAGTAAATGAGCAAAAAAGCAGATATTGTTTATTATATATTCGATATTGATATTTGGATGACTAATTGATTCCTTAACCTCTAGCATACATGACATTTTTGAATTCAAAAGTCGTCCATAATAATAACATGAAAACATTAGTCTAAAATAATAAGTACGGTAACCACAGCAAATAGCTGGTGTTATTATTACCATGCTTATTTATTGTAATTAAGAAAGGGAAAACATATTTTATGATGGGACTAATACTTTATTTTCAGTCACTTCATCGGTCTCCGGTCTAGATGGCAGTGAAACACAGACAGACGCTGCAGGGGAACCTGCCACAGGAGGAACTACAAAAGCTATAAAACAGATTATGATTGTGAATAATATTGGTCCGCATCTAAAACCAGTTGGTAGACTAAACTGTTAAGATAGTTTGATGAGAGATTTAACTTTAATAAGGTTTAAAACAAAATTGTGGGAATTTGCTCCTACAAATATGCAAAGTGTCAACTGTAAATATATATATATATATATATATATTTATATATATATATAAATGCTTCATTTTCATTTCCTAAATCTACAAGAATCCTATTTCTTAATATGTCTAAAAATGAATAACGACTGATGTATGTGATGAGTGTCATTTGGGATTGTGTGTGTAGGTTGCGTTGATCTTTTCTTATATTTTGAGTCTGTCCCTCCTTTGGCTCTGTGCAGTGTAGTTCTATTACTTTGGATTGCATTGCACTGATCTCCATTATCACCTTGGGGAGGTTTTTGTACGGGTGTACACTCACTGTGCATTTATTCTGTCTCCTGGCTGACACCATGTATTCCCCCACTGTCCTGTCTAATATACATTTCCAACATGAGGTATATTGGAATAACGTTCCAACAGTAAGCTTCTCAATGTGCGTGTACATATGCCGCCTGTATGCGTAGATACAGGTCGAAGGAGCACAGGGTATTTGCATCAGATATTCCCTTTAATTCTTTAGTGGAGGGGGGGGGGGTCCAGTAGTGAAATAATCCCCTTTGTGCGCCAAAATAAAGGGTATGTGCGTTTCAGTAGGCTACAGTGTCTGTGTTGTTCTTATTTCTGAACTGTAAAGGATTACTTCTTCACTGCACAATTTAACAAGCTCCTATATGTTGCGAAATGTCTGTGTCTGTTTGTAAAATGAAGCTCAAGTGCACATGTTCAGTAAGTGTATGCATGCCTGTGTGAATAACGGATTGACTGTAATTCTGTTTGGGTGAATGAAACTGAACCAAAATGCTCCAGTTGTTAACCATGTGACCAAAGTAGCCATTGTTTAATCTCAGTTCCTTTCTGTGCATTATTTTCTAGAAAAGCTTGAATATTTTTTTCTCAATGCCAAGAAGCTGATGTTTATTTTTGTACTTCCTTGTTTCATGGAAATGTAAGTTCCCTCTCCGTTATTGGGATTATACAGAAAACTATCACTCTTTATGGTACTTTATTTAGAGGTACTATTTAAATTCTGATTAAATGTTAAAAAGCATGCCCTAAATAGAAATCACATACAGTACATACAAAAGGAGATTTAATTGTGAACAGCAGAGCATATCTAATATTTTGAGGATTTTATTTTAGCATGCAGATCATTGCTAAAATTAAGTTTTATGTTTTAACAGGAAATATGTATTATTTAGGAACAGTACTAACAATGAGCACTTTAGCTGTGTATCAGACAGAGCTGTACTCCCCCTGAACTTTGAGACTGGAAGATGTTCCTCATTTTTATTTCAAATGCTGCTATCATTAGTTTTGAGCAAATAAGCGTTTTTTAAATTAACTTTAAGCCAAGTAGCAATAAAAACTTTTTACTGTGAACTTTTCTGTCTAGTGTCGGTTTGCTCACATTTTTTATTATGATTTCATGCCAATAAATATCGGAATGACCGTTTTTGGTCAGCATCAGATAATGTCTACAGTTTCATTTTTGTCCGAATGTTACAGAAGGGCATTGATATATTAATCTTGATAACTATAAACCAATTAAATTAAATTAGGGTTCATGCACTGAGGGAGTACTTATCAGGGAAATGAATCAGAAAGAGAGAGCACACGGTTCTTGTACAGATTCTTGTGTTGAAGTCTAAACTACATTCCCAAACACTTTAGATCTGCCATCTCTTGGTGGAGCTCAGAATGACACCTGGTACTTTCAAATAATGGTTGATACATTACAAGGAAAGACCATCTAACCTGAGCAACAAGTCCTAGTATCAATTGTTTTTCTTGTTGGCAGGGTCTTTGGGAAGGAACACATTCAGACACTTTGCAACTTCAAAGTAGAGTCCATAGAGGATCAATTAGATCACTTATTCATATAAAATAATGTGAATATATTTGGACTATAGTCAAATGCTCAAAGCAGAGAAAGCTTTGCAGCACTGGATATTTTCCTTTCAAGAGACATTTGGTTTTGTAAAATAGTCAATTCAGACTATAACAACAGGCTTTTGATCACACTCTAACACCCAGTATTTATTATCAACAGGCTTGGCTTCACTTTGACAGTGCAGAGATCTGAGGGGTGCACATCATTTCGATCTGGAAGACAATTTTAACAATACAAATGTATGTAGGTGTGTGAAAACTCAATGGACTGTTCCTGGGTAACATATTAGATAATTACTCTTAAAGTAACTGGCAACACCTGATATTCCTTGTTGTAAGTTGATGTCCGTCTGCTCCATAACTGAACCTGACTGAGGCGTATCTCTTCTTCTGCCCTTTAATTTGCAGTTATGCAGAAAATGAATGAGAAATTAGTAATACAAATGCACAGTTTGAATGGTTTATTATAGAAAATGTAACAGAAACAATACACATGTAAACTGGAAATTGCTAGGATTAAGAAAGTATTCTACAAAATCAAATAAATACTCCTGTAAGATATAAAAAGTGGATAAAAAAGCTGACTCACAGATGAATACACATTAACACCTAATATGACAAAGCTCTTGTCACAGGGATTTTCTAATCAATCCCACTTTTGTTCAAATTCGGCAAGAAGAATAGTTTTATAGATTATTGTCCTCGTTTGTCCTCTGCTTCTTCAGCTCCCTCACTGCCCTGAACGCCTTGACAGCTAACACTGCACCGAAGATGAAAACAAACACCCCGAACACCGCAAAGAGACCTCCTGCAATATCTGCACCGTGGAACTGGCACTCGAATCCCTTGTGGCCTTTGCTCTTGTACATCTGCTCTCTCTCCGTGCAGATGGGGTCGTTGTAGGTCTGCTGCAGCTTAATAAAGTAGAAGGCCAGCGCGGGGATGTAGCCCAGGCCGATCAGGACGTTCAGCAGAGCCTCGCCCAGCAGCACAGGGGGGAAGCGGTAACTGACCCTGAAAATCCCCAGGCCGAGCATGACACAGGCGTAGAACATTATAACCCCCCCGCAGGCCATGGTGAAGACATACGGAGGTTTCTTCAGCTGATGGAAGAGCACGTCCAGCTCCTTCACTCGGTCTGCATCGGCTCCAGTGAACGCGTTGGCTCCACCAAAGTGATAATAGTAGATTCCTCCCAGGCTGGCCAGGTCCCTGTAGCCCCCGTTGTTGCTGTACGGCACCCCCGCACAGATGACAAGAAGCAGATTCACAAACACCTCCATGAGCTGGCAGATACCTGGGAGCAACACAATTTGTATTTATGTCTTTATTAGGATCTCCATTAGCACTAGCATGAGCATTGGCTATTCTTCCTGGGGTCCTCACACACACAAAACATACATAAACATACATACAACCAAATTAAAACAAAACAGCTCACCATTTCATACAATTGACAGTGCTGTATGAATTGAAAACTAAAATGCTCATCCAATTATCGCCATCCTAAGGCCAAACAAATGTAAATACAAATAAGTGTACATAATAATATATGCATACATAGCCACAGGCACAGTTCAAATGTACTTTTTAATACTTAATTAATTATTTTTTAAGCAACCTTTTGAAATGTACTTGACAATGTTCCTGAATGATATGGACGGGTAAAGAGTTCCAGCTGACCATGGCTCTGTACCTGACTGTTTTCTGTCCCATATTTGATTTAGATTTGGGTAATACAAACCTTCCTTGTATGTCGTGTTTGATAGTTATGTTGAGCATACTGCGCTATAAACCTTTGTGATAATATATGTGGTGAGAATTTAACAAAATATAAGTTGACCTCTGTCTGACACTTATCCATTTCAGTGACTCTGGTTCTGTGGGAGCACTGCAATGCACATCGTGCTGCCTTATTTTGTGCTACTTTCTGCAGCACTAGACCATATAACCAAACAATAATCAAGCTGCGACAGAACCAAAACATCCAGAACTTGTCTACTGACATCTATTTGCAAATATTTTACAATTATTTTTACAAGTGACACACCCCTCTCTATTTTACATACAACATTATCAATTTGTTTAGACCAAGATAATTTTTGATCCAGGGTTATACCTAGCAATTGTGTCTCCTTGACCTGTTCAATTTGAATATGGTTTAAATGTAGTTGCAATTTTGGTTCACCTTTTAACTGATGATTTGATCCTACTAATAAAGATTTAGTTTTTCCAGCATTAACTTATTATTTATGACCCACTCTGATATAAGTAGTAGATCTTTATTCATAACATTTGTCAACTCTCTTATAGTCGATGCTGCATAATATATTGTTGAGTCATCTACATACATTACAATTTTGGCTTTTTCTAACACTAATGGTAGGTCATTTGTAAAAAATAGAAAATAAAAGTGGTCCCAAACAACTACCCTTAGGTACTCCACAAGTGAGTGTCTTCATCAAAATACTGACATTAATATAGGAAATAATTTTATAGTGATGATGTTTTCCCAGGTAAAATGTATTCACTATAAGTGGATGATTATTATAAATATTATTTAAAATATAATCCCCTTTTTTTTTACTTATCACGCAGATTCTAAGTTATATGGACATGTATAAGATAAATATAAATCCAAAAATGGACAGCTTTGCTATTTAACCAGTTTTATTGACTGTCTTAAAATAGAGCACAGGTGTTTCAACGGCTTTTCCAATTACTGTAAAATAAGTGACTGTACGCTTATAATTCAAATACACTTCAATACAGAACCTATTCCATATCAAATATGGCAAATTGTAGTTCAGATTATAATAAGGCTATATAACAGTAATGTGCTGTATTTGTAAACAACTACTAAGCACACATCTTGGCACTTGGCAGTGGTTTCAGTGCATTTCTACATTTTTAACAGGCCTGAAAATAAAGTGTAGGATATCAATGCCAAACTCTACAGACAAACATATTCATAAAATAAGGGCTGTGGTAGTTAAGTCGTTTTTTGATTAAGAAATCCACACTTGCCATGTATTAAAGGCCCAGTTGAGCAGACTACTTGTAAGTGATTTAAACAGTGTTTGTTTAGAAATGATCCCATACTTGCCTCTGCTGGTTAAGATGTATTTGAGATTGTAAAGAGCATGTTTTTGTTGTGGCTCATAATACTCCTCCCCTTCAGATTCTCTGGACCTAAAAGGACAAACACATTACATGTATTATACCTCTACATGTCATTTTACACAAAAATGTAAATAAAAAAACCCCTCTGCCACAGATGGCGGAAAGTGTGTGTGAAAGACATGACAGTAAGTGTATTGAAAGTATTCGGGCCCTTACAGTCTTGAGGGTCCTTCATGGCTGTGGTCTCTGTAAACAGGTGGCTCATTGTGAGAGGCAGTTGTCACGTCCCTCTGTCGATTTTGTTTTGGCCTCCTGTCACCGGCAGAGCTTTTCTCCTCTCTGTCTCTCGGCTTTTGGTTGCGTCCTCTGTCTTCATAAGACGCATGGTCTCCATTGTGAGAGTAGTCCCTGTCCCTGTCCCTACTCTTGTACTCATCATACTCCTCACTCCTCTGGTGGTGTCTCCCCCTCTCCGGCATCTTCCTCTGCATAGACAAGAGGACTAGTATGGACATGAATCCTTTTATACACACACACTCATAAAAAAAGTGGATAGTTGGCGTGTATCTATATAACTGCCACTGTGGACAGTAAAGCAGCATGAAGGATTATTTAATGAAGATTAAATTGAAGGACCAGAGACAGAAACCGGTTTCTTCATAAAGTAAAATGGCTGGCAGGCAAAAGGTAATAGTGATTTTGGAGCCAAAATACATTTCAGGAAGACAGTTGAATGTTATCATAGGCCTACTCAATAGAAACACACTAAATCATACTTTCACGTGATTAGCATACGTTTTTTATTTCAACAAGGTAGCTTATTCTGTAAAAAGACCGACATATCAGCGCAGGTCTTACTTAGTTCATTCGTGTTTGGAGCCCATTATGTAGTTTAAGAACGTTTCTGGGCTCATGAATAATCAAAAGCCTCATTATTATTTCCTACCTTTGGATTCCGTGCACAATGTGATCTTGTTTTCTGTTGTGCCGAGAAAAATTCAGCCCACCTGTCTTAACTTCCTGTGTGAGCTTTTCTCCTCCTCCCCCTCACCTGTTATGTGCCACGCCCATTAGTTTGGAGCTCATTATGGGTTTAAAAAAACAATTGTATTTCAAATGTTACGTTTTAGACTTCTGTTCCCAATGTATAGTATTTTCCAGTGTGTTGGAATTATGTAGACCCATATGTAGTATTGTTCTGTACTGTAATGTATTTACTTTATATATTGTTTATTAACAGACCACTACATTCAATACATTTGTCAGTTTGAACAAAGTATTATATGACCCAATTATTTTCAAAAGAGTAAAAAAAAAAAAAACGGAAAGTGTATTTGTTTTAAAAGGGGTTTAAATTATGTTTACAGTACTCCCCAAAAAAATTGCGATTCATGCCCCAACCCGGACGTGAACGCACACAGCGCACGCGGTTCACGCTTCAACCATGAAGCTCGCGCTAGTAGTCCACGCATCACTTTCAGCATTTCCTCCGAAGCACTGATACATTTCAAAATAAATGTCATTTAAACTTAATCTCAAATAATCTATTGTGCAAATTGGCCCATTTCAGAATAATATATGACATATTTTGATTATAAATGTTGATGCATCAGAGCTGGTAAATGTGCAGCTAGTTTAAGTTACATTGTATGCTGCAGGGTAGCTTGTGAATGTTACTCCAGGTGGAACTCAAGTATTATTAAAGAGTTGAATACAATTCAAATCATTGATAAAAATGTGCAAAGTAACTAATGGTGCTAAATGAATGTAGTGGAGTAAAAGTGCACGATTCATCTCTGAATTGTAGTGTGGTAGAACTACAAAGTAGCAAATAATTGAAATACTCGAGTAAAGTACAAGTATCTCAAAAGTGTACTTAATGACAGTACTTAAATGTACTTAGTAAATGGTTTTAGCTACTTCACACCACTGTCCACACATCGAAGTCACAGGTTAAAGATACATCACAGGATGGGATTATTTATGGTTAAAGAGGAAGACTTTTATTGTGAAGTCCGGGAGAAAACCCCCCACCGGAAGTGTTTGACGGTATTCCTTGAGCTCACGCTGCCACTACAACCGATTGACCGCGCTGGGTTGGCTAGCAAGCGAGGAAGAGACAGAAATGGCGGTGACGGCAAGGCGAGCAGCATGAAGTGCTGATGCATTACATGGATCAAAACCTACAACTGCCAGGACACGGTTGGGAAAATGACAATGACGTCGAAGTAGGACACCCTCTGTAACGGTCACTACACACCTACAACACCTTCCCGGGAGAGTTTTCATCTTGTCAGCGGAGGAGAGAAAATCTCACCGGGAGCATGGCTTCTTACAGCAACCAGGTAGCTAAAGCTAGCTGGCTAACGTTAGCCTGCAAAACAACCCCTGATGCACGCCTGATAACGTTATTTAGAGGCTCGCAGCCACCCCTACCTTGTACAATTGTATGACTTAAAATAGTCCCCATACTGTAATAGCTATTTTGCATGTTGTTATTTGAAACATCCGACTTGTCGTGTCATTGAAAACGTAAGAACTGAAAAGTGCTTGCTAATGCCCCCCTAAGCCCCATTGAAACTCCACCAGCATGGTAGCTAACAGGCCCTAGGTCTCCTCATTCAAATGAGACAGCAGTACTGTTTGCAGCTGTTTTTACAGATATGACAGACACGTTTAGCTTAATGTCATGAAAGTGTGTTTAATCTAATGTTGGTGACACTTTGGCGTTAGATCCAGTCAGTGACATGTGTTATTTCCCCAAGGCTAAGCGACACTGAAAACTGCTGCGTGTATGCATGGCCCACCTGCTCTGTGCTGCGACAGGCCTTCCCCCAGCGCACATTGTAATAACGAGTAATGACTGCAAATTACTCTTGCTCCTGGCAGTAAGGCAACATAATGACGGTGTTGTGGGATGTTTTCCGTGTGATCATTTCCCTTAATACGTAAGACAATGTAACAATGTCTCGCCGTGCTCTTAGCACTTAGCAAGCTAACAGCTTTGCACAGATGGTATGGTTACACTTTGCATTCAGTGCGCTAGCTAGTTAGCTACATTCAAATGCGACAGTGTGGGCCTTCATTGATAGCGAAGATTTATTTGATATGCAAATAACTAAAATACATAAATGAGTCACACTGCAGATTAGTGTGCTGTTACACCGCGAGTCTCCGTGTTGCTTTTAGGTTAAAGATAAATTGGCTAATTTGGTGACATTTCCGAGGAAGTCAGCTATCATGTGGGGAGGCCCGATTTGAAGTGTCGCTATGCATGCAGATACATGACAGATTTAAAGTGTATATTGATTGCATGAACTGACTAACTCCACAAAAATATAAATGAAACTTAAACTAAGGATACATTTGGATCGAATAGACAGCTCAAAAACTGGAGCTTTCCATAGGCTTATATTCACCATGCTTTCACACTTGTTCCTGCCTTCGAAATTGAGTGTTTCTATTGGCTCACTGTTTAGCAAAAGTGAAAGTTTCAGGGGAATAACCGCTTCGGCTCCTCAACACAGTCAAGTCTGTGCATGTGGAATTAAATATTATATATAATATGGAACCATTGACATTGAATTATCCTTGCTTGGTGCATAGTCTTGCATAATATAATATGAATAATAAGTTAAACCTTTTTAAATTGCTCTACATTTCCAGTTGACCAGTGTCTTGGGGCAACCGGATTTGGACCGATGTCAACTATTTTTAGTTTGGTCTGGTTGCCCCATTTGGCAACCATTTTTACAGTGTTACAGAAGGTTATTTTTTAATTGCTCACTCTCTCTGTTATAGTTTTATACAAGAGTGTTGCTGTCAAAAATGACATCAGTTATTCCAAATGAATGGAAAAAAAGTTAATAAACAGGTGAGGTAGAAAAAGACTTGCATTATTACATTTAGGTAGCAATAACTATAATTTTTTACATTCAATAGGGCCAATGCAGGATTTTAAGTACCCAATAGAAATAGAAAAACTAGCATTTCATTTTTTTTTACTTTAATATAAGCCATGTTTCACTTTGTTTGTTAATTTTAAAACAGATTTTCCTTAACTAACTGTAAACTTAATGTTTTATAACTTAAGCCTCAGGCGTGTTTTCCAAAAACGATGAAAACACAAACGATCCATTTAATTTAGAGGATATCTTGTTATTACACTGAACAATGCAACTGTAGTATGGTGTGAAGAAGGAGCTTCTTCTCAATGCATGCATCTTCTCTCCAGAGCATAACAATGCAACATGGAGATGTTTTCAGAGTAAACCATACGCTCTATTTTGATTGTAATAAGGAATAAGTTGCCCAAGTGAACCTTATTGTGGCATCTTCCCTTCTTTTTGTCTCCGTTTAATTCAGCCTAATGTCCTGCCAAAACATAAATATGTGAGTGGGATAGTAATCTCTATTCCGGTTGGAAAGTTATACACTGTATGCACACACAAATCTATAATTAACGTTTTTAGCTTAGTCATATGCACACTAAAACACACAAGAAAGTTTAAAGACAAATTCTAAAGCAGTAGTCTAGTCATGTTACTTAAGTCCATACGTAACCATCCAACCCAAGTATCTCAATGAATAGGTGGTCTTTACATTTACTGCAGACATTCATTGTGCCAGTGGTATGAATCCAGACATTTAATGAGATTCCCTGATTTTCCATCAGGCCACACCCACAGGCCAGATTTCCTACTTTTACAACACGCATTATAAACAAGACTTAATATCCAAAAATAAATTATTTTTTTGAGTATCATGTTACCCTTTCCAGAACCAGTGGATAATCAGTAGTAAAACACAAACTGGCATTTGGCATTTTGTGCTATGAATTGCAATTAATAATTTTCTGTTTATTGACCCAGCTTTGAAGCTTTACAAAACAAAAAAGATGACAAACAATGAAAGCAGAGCCTTTTATGAGCCACCATATTTATGTCAGTAAAAGCAGCAAACATAAGAAACATTTCACAACTGGATCACCAACTACAGCCATTGTGAAAGCACTTGCCCTCGAGCAGAATGAATAACAGGAATTCCATTCCCTACCATTTTCAAACTTCTCTGTATTTGATGCTTTGTAATAATCATGTCACCCTATTACTACATCACGCCGGCACATTCATGCTCCGGAGAAACCAGTCTGACCTTATATGTAGTCTCGCTGCAGCTTTTTTTCCTGCTCAGCCAAGTTGTCCATTAATAACTCGGCATACCAATTTAAGAGAACGGGCATAGTAGAGCTGGCTGTATCCCTGTCATGGTTAGAGTAAACAGATTGTTGGAGCACTTAGTTTATTGGGGTGTGATGACCGAGTCATACTACAAAAAGTGTCTCGTAGAGTGTTAAGTACAACCTTTTCAAAAATCAATTGTTCATATCTTTTAAGGGCTGATGCAATTAGTCTTTTTTAGGGATGTCCCGATCACCTTTTTTTGCTTCCGATCATTTGATTTTGCCGATACCGATTTTTTCCGATCTTTATGCAATGCATTAAGAGGGAAAAAAAGCATTCAAGTTGTCCCTTAAGGTTATATTTTTATTTACATTGGATATTCTATCCAACATGGATATGGCTTCTTTCTTTCACAGCAGCATTGGATCAGTTCAGTTGTGCAGCATTGGATCAAAACAAAATAAAGCTTTCAGTACTCGTTAGCTTACTGCTACAATTAGACACTGCGCCCTGCCCACTCTGTTGCCAGATTTGAGAGAAATAAGCAGCCAGGTCTATGAAAACAAGCCCCAAAGAAGCAACACATACATGATGTTCTGTAATTTGAAACCAAAACTAAGGCCTCAGGATGACTTTAAGACTTGAACATGGTCATTTTTGTTTTGTAACATTGAATACAAAAAAAAAAAAAACTATTTATAAAAATAAAATAAAAGATCCCAATCCCCGATTTTTTTCCTCCCGATTCCGATCTTCTGAAAATCACGTGATCGATCCCCGATCATCGGATCGGGACATCTCTAGTCTTTTAAATGTTGATGCTGAAAGAATACTTTGTCATCAATACTT